GGAGATAACTGATAACTGACATCCATTAAACATGGCACGTGAGGGTCGTAGGGGCATCATGTGCACTGTAGCCGCAGTAGAAGTGGTGTTTCTTGGGAAAGAGAGCCCGACAGAGCCGAAATCTCTTCAGTCCGGAGTCTGCAGTCTTTAAGTACCTTCAAGACTTCGCCCGTAAGCTGTTTGCTGCAAAAGTCAAAGCCGGTGTCTTTGTCGGGCCACAAATAAAGAAATAAATAGTGCCAGGAATTTCTCAAGAAGATCAGTAGGACGGAGTAAACAGCGTGGAACAGCTTTGTCGCATTGGTTCATGGCTTCTTGAGGAATCACAATGCCGAAAACGATGTGGAGATTGTTGAGACCCTGGTGAAGATCTACGGCAAAATGGGCTGCAGGATGTCTGTCAAAGTCCATATCCTTGACGCTCATCTCCATAACTTCTAGAACATTGAGGCGCTTTCACCAGCATAGACTGGACTTTGAACACCGTAAAGATCGTATAATGAAAATATGATAGATTATATTTGGGTGGCTGATTCCTGAAAATAATTGACAGCACTAGCTTCGTATGCATTCGTTTACCTATATTCATTTTCTTTTCTATTGCTGTAGAGCTCTCGTAAGTCAGAGCTCATCATTTTTCTATTGGTTGGGCAAGTAACTGGTGTATCGGCAGGGACTCTACCATAAAATCTCGTCTCTTTGTGTCGCAACAGCTATTTTCAATAAATACTTGTCAGTGGCCATGTTGATCGGATTAAGTTAGCTGGTGCTTCAAATTCATCCATCAACTGGCAAATATTTTCGTGTTTGTTGTGAGTTCAATACCTGGCTACTGCAGTAATGAACAAAAACTGGAAGAGTTGAGTTAAAGGGAGATAACCGAGAAACCCAGAAGAGGCATGGCACGTTGAATTAAAACAATTTACCCCGATGGACAAAAAAAAGGGGTTCAATTCGAAATTCCAATCACCTGAAAAAGGAACGAACGTACAACGGCCGGAACGTCGTGAAAATGGCAATAAATATGAGGATAGGAGTTCGAACAATGGAAATAATTAGAATACCTGATTTCATATTGAGTTTGTGATATTAATGCAAGGACATTACTAATACGTAAACGTCAGAATCAATTTTAAATTAACGGTCCTTCTCAGAATGTTTTAGTAGTGTGTGCCATTGTCTTTCATTGAAGATATTAGGCAATGTTGTCATTTATATTCTCTATGGTGTCAACACTTCGACTGCGACAAAATATACCAAAATGGTTATGCTTAAGACATTTAAGCTTTCCTTTAAATTGAAAGTTAATTTTCATATGCCATTTTGAGCGCAATTTAAGCATTTGTTGCCCTTTTCATCCCTTACCATCACCGGAAGAGGGCTGACGTCATCACTGTTTCCATCCGCTTGCATGCAGTGCTGGAAAACGCTGCTTCTCCGTTTAAATGCTTACCTGTACATGTTGATGACCATTTGCTGTTGCTCTCTTCGGGTTCAGGTAAGGTTCGAGTTTTTTTTTGTCAATAAATCCCTGTCGCTATGACCAACCGTATTGATGATTCCTGATTCAGAATGTCGTCATCTTCTACTTGGTCATACAAAACCCAAATATCAGATTTCTTTATTCTTGCAGAGGAAAAGCATGAAAGAATTGATTGCTTTGTTCTTTACGGTTTATCAACCCTTTGCAGGTTATTTAACTCCAGAAAATATTTTTAGATTGTAAGAATGTTTAGAAACATAATAATGGTTTGGTGATACAAGTCATACGAATTAATTCACAGTTAAGAAGAGAAAAGATGAATTCTTACCTTTCCCAAGGATATTTGTGCATAAGTGAATCTAACAAACCAACTGGAATTGGAACTCAGCTAATTGATTTCCAATTACTTGCCGGCAAACTTACACCTCCAAACTTACATCACCTGGTAGTCTCAAGTGGTCACCCATCTAGGTATTGGCCAGGCTTAACACTGTGCTTAACTTTGGTGATCGTATAGGAATCTGGTGAACACGAAATAAATAAGAAACTTTATTCAGTAAGAAAGGAAGTGAAAACAACAAAACTGAAAAGCCAATTACAAGTGAATGAAGAAAAGAAAATAAATCATAAGAGACATTAGAAGAATGTGGATAAAATGAAAGCAAAAGGAAATGCAATGAACAAAATACAGAAACGATGGCAAGAAGATAATCCTCTTCATGGTCAATACTCTAATCCGGGACAAACAAGTTGATCGATGCAAACCCCCAACCCACCAGCGGTTTTAATAATAATAATAATAATAATAATAATAATAATAATAATAATGATAATGAGAACATCAACAATCCTTGTTGTAGTTGGATCCCTAGGATTAGTTGGAAAAGATTGCAGTAGACTAATTGAAGGGATTCCTGGAAGTCCATGCCTCAAAGAGATACAAAAAATTGTTCTGACAAGTACAGCCCACACTTTACGAAAGGCTTTATCTATGTATTTTTTTCTTTTTGTCAGTGGAAAGTGTCATGATGCCATTTCTAAACTTAGGTCCCTGGGCGGGACCCGGAAAGAAATGTGTAAACGCCAGAAATCAAAGAAAATAATAATAATAATAATAATAATAATAATCATGATAAGAGACTGCGAAATGTGCTTCCTTATTGACATGGCAGTCCCTCGAGACTGCAATATATCTTTGAAAATCTTCAAAAAACTATTAAAATACAAGGAGCTTGAAATCGAAATCTCAAAGCTGTGGCGCATAAGGACATCAACAGTTCCAGTTGTAGTTGGAGCACTCGGATTGATTGGGAAAGATTCCAATAGACTCATTGAAGGAATATCTGGCAGCTTATGCCTTAAAGAAATAAAAAAAATGCACACAAGTACAGCCCACACCTTAAGAAGGGTTTTATTTATGCAAAATATGTTTGATTTTTTTTTTAAAATGCTCAGTGGAAAATATCATGATGCCATTTCTGACAGCAGGTCTATCGTCGAGACCTGCAACGAAATGTGTGCACACCAGAAATCAAAAGAAATAATAATAATAATAATAATAATAATAATAATAATAATAATAATGATAATATCATCAACACCCTCATTATTATTATTATTACTAATATTATTATTATTACTATAAATAATTTACATTTAAAATTCATTTTAACAGAATAGAAGTAAAGGGACTTCATTTTTTAGCAGACCAACACACATACACAGATACAGACACACACACACACACACACACACACACACACACACACACACACACAGAGAGAGAGAGAGAGAGAGAGAGAGAGAGAGAGAGATGAGGCTACTACGAATAGAGAGCAAGATATGCCCAACCCAAGTATAAGCCGACGTATGTAGAAAGAATCATGTGAGGGTCACGCAAACGCACGACATAATCAAAGGTTGACAAATTTTATTCCCCCTTCATACAACGATTTATTTTCCTGTACGTGCTTTGAAGTAAGGGTTCCTCCCTCGATGACCACAGAGAATAAACATATATATATATATATATATATATATTATATTTAATAGTTGCTCTGTTCTTAGAGGGACAGGAAAAGAGCGTTCCATTCACGGTTTCACAACTTGTTATTTTCGTCCAACGGTTTCAGTTGTATCCTGAAAAATAGCCTTTGAAAGTCTCCAATCTGATCGATATCAGCGAAAACAGTAGCAGTATTCAGTTTAACGCCCGAGATCTGTTAGGTACAGGAGTTGGGCGAGCTGGCTGTTTTGGTTGAACGTTAATAATGATATCGATCTTTATTGGTTGCACTAGACTTGTGCTCTTGTCTGAAATTAAACCATGTTTAGCAAATAACAACATAACACAAACGTTCGATTGAGGATCAAAGTTTTTTTTCTTTTTCAAGTAATACAGACCATTGAAAATTTGGCAATTTACGAAAAAAAATAAATCCCCAAGGTCGGAAGAAGTTGGAATATTTTATGCTTTGATCTTTACAGCTGCAGAATTTCATCGTAATTTGAAAACAACTCTGAAACTGAAAGAGAAATGGGGCGGGGGGCGATCAATAACCAAAAACGGTCGCTTCGGGAAAACTTAAGAGATAAATAATAAAAATGTCCGTCATTAGATGATAGAAAGTAAAAGAAAAAAAAATGTAGAAAAGTAGAATTCTAAATCTGCAAGTTTTGATATTCAAATCTGTAAATCATCCAATGGAAATAAAGTTTTGATATTCAAATTTATAAATCATCCAATGGAAATAAAGTTTTGATATTCAAATTTATAAATCACCCAATCGAAATAAAGTTTTGATATTCAAATTTATAAATCATTGAACGGAAATTAAGTTTTAACATTTAAATTTATGAATCATTCAATGGAAATAAAACTATCTTCCCTTTTAGGCTGGAATGAAAGCCCTCTGGCTTTTTTAACGATCACATTAAGCGTACTTTTTTCAATATATATCTTGCCACTCGTATACTTGAATACACGTCTACTTGGGCGGCTAGCCAATCCATACTGCAGACGCTTTCTCAGGTGCATTTTGTGGTTTATACTGAAAATATACTGAGCTGATATTAGTTACAGTTTGGGGGAAAAGGCGTCTCATCTAGCGTTGTCAACAATTTGAACAATGCCAGCACGCTCAAACCATCGGCCACAATGACTTGTGACTTCGTGTTAGCACAGCTATTGATGGCCCCCACCCCAGTCGTACCATGTAGCGAATTTTATTCACAAAAGTTTTAAGGCAATTTCCAAAGGTGCTTTACGGTGGGATCGACCCTTCCAGTCCGATAACATCAAAGAGTACCCTTCATGACAAATCAACCATGGTGAAATTTGAACCCGGTTCTCATGGTCAGAATTCGAATGTTTTAACCACTCGGCCATACTAGCGGTTAAATAACCATTAATTTTGTAATTAATCTTTCTTTGTTTTCTTTGCAGAGTACTTGATATCAATGTACATCAATGAAGATACGTAATACTTATCCATAAAATATACAGGCATACATAACGTACAGCACCTGGTATTCTCAAGGTGTCACCCATCAAGGTACTGACCAGTCTCCACGTTGCTTAACTTCAGTGATCGTACAAGAACTGGTGTTTCAACGTTATATGCCCGTAAGCCAATTGAATAGCCCTTAAACTAGAGCCCACGAACCTATTGTGTTTAAATATATAATATGGAAGAGATATCCTGCAACATTTGCTATGTGATTAGACAACTGTTTCTCTTGGTTCGAAATAAAAGAGAATTCGCTAAAAATGAACCCAGAAAACAAAGAGAAATTGGTACCCACTGATGCTAGTAATATCGACAAAAATTAACTATTTATTATAGCACCTATTATGGCGGTGTCGAAAGATCAAATGACTTGCTAACGACACCGACAACGGCCAGTACTAAATTCAAATGGGATATTATTATTATTATTGTCTGAACTTTTATCGACCTTTACGACAAATTCTCATTTTACGTTGTCTGATTATCATTGGCTTCTACTTATGCAGCTTTTTTTGATCTGATCGAAAAACATTAAAGATGAGTTATCTTTGGAGTTCAAAATTTGATCGGCATGTTATTGGTCAAAGACAGATTTATTTTATCAAAATGGAAATGAAACAAAAATCCACATAGTTGGCGTATGATCATACACATTCGCGGAAAGTATTTATGAAGTTTTAATGAAAAAAAAAATATGAATAGATTTTGTGAATTAACTTGAATAAAGATTAAAATATACACGGACTTTATCGACATCCTCTCCGAAAAAGCTAAGTTTGTATATAAATTTCAATGTCTTTTGCGAGATATTATCTCCAACAGAAAAAATCCATTTGTTGGTCAAATCACAACTACATTGTCTAGAAGTTTGAGTTTTCACTTGAATAACATGTCGAAAATGCATCTAAAAATAACATGTCGAAAATGCATCTATAATTTTTCATGAAAAAAGTAAACATAAACTAAAAATTATTGAAGCAATATATATTAAAATATTAAAACCAACCTTTAATAAAATTAATTAAAAATACTGCACAGATTTTTACCTTAGATAGTTTTAAAAGATCAAGGTTTTAACTAATAGCTTCAAAAAAAGTAGACACCTCAACAACTTAGTTACCTCCCTTGACATTGCTACACGTCTATGTTTACATCATAAAATTTAAAAATTGTTCAGTACATAAGTTTAGTGATTTTCACTTTACAAATAAAAAGTTGAATTTTCAGATGAACACAACAATTTTGCCGTAGCAAAAACAACACAAGAAATAATGGTCACCACTTGGTGTTGACCTCAATGTCCACTTTTATATTTACATACGCTCTATTATAATAGTGATCACTTTAACCCATAAATATAGCATACCTTAAAAGCATATATATATATATATATATATATAACAAAGATTGCGTTTTTCTGGCGGATAATATTTTTAAGACAATCAGATTGGAACATTTTTATTTGTTTATGTATATGAGAGAGAGAGAGAGAGAGAGAGAGAGAGAGAGAGAGGAGTGAGTGAGAGACTGTGGAATCATGGGTATCAACACTGTACAGTGACTGTCATTTTTACGCTACAACGCGATCCTAAATCTAAAAGTTGAAGCGTGAAAACCGGCAGTCGATATGCGCTGTTGATTCATATGTCCAAAGTCTCTCTATATATAAAAACTCTGTCTCCGATATTGAGTGGTCTTTGTTACTAAATGTAGTAAATTTACAACACACACACATACACACACACATGTGGCACCATTTACGAGGCAGAGAAAGGAAGAGAAAGAAAAGAAGGCAGAAAAAAAAAAGGCGAGACGAATCGTAGGTGATAAGCAGCCACACACACGGCTAAGAGACAATGAAAATATTGATAAGTAACAAATGAAAAAGGGTGTCATTACAATGACAGGGAATTTCTGAGTAAAAAAAAAGAAGGGGAAAGAAAGAAGGAATCAGATGTGTTTTGATAACGGCTGTGTTATCTAGGCTGGACATCTGGCCAGGGAAAAATTCAAGTGAAAATGCTATTTCGATAAGTGACGAGAAACAGGCCACTAAAAAGGACTTTGGACAGATATGAAAAATTAAATCCCACCCAAGCAGTGCTGCTGACTGAATTCTTTTCAACGAAACAACCTTGCCCTGCGATAATAAAATTATGTTATCAGACATATGTACCGAAGGAAAATGTATGGGAACCAGAAGTGTTTTTATTTCTTCCTTGGAGGCGACAGACTGACTGAAAATTTTGGGGATATTTCTTTTCTGAACCCATGTTACGAAAACCAACCGTCTTGATAAATTAGCGATAAACTACCTGACAAACATCACGTGTAAAACAAGAGATGTCATATTGTCCGTTCGTGGCTAGAGAAATGATAACGGCGATTGAAAAGGAAGAAAAAGGAAAGAGAAGAGATAATTATTTTTTTTTTAGTTAAGCAAGATATTTTTTTCCCGAAACAAAGCCGCGGATTGTTCACGCCCGACTAAGACATCATTGGTCAGGTGGTGATCACGTGATGCACGAAGGAGGAGGAAAGATATCCGACCAAGACCTCATTGGCCGAGAGTGATCACGTGACGCACGAAGAAGGCTGTCGACGCCCCATCCAGAGTATAAGTATGAGAAGCTGCTACGAAGAAGTGGGGAGGGCAGTTCACACCCCTCAGAAGTATGGTGAGAAAGTGGGAGTGAGAAAATGTTCCCAAAAATGGAAAAGAGTGGAAAATCCCTAACCAGAAATAAAGGAGGTGGATATGTATTTAGAATTATCGAGGACCCCCCCCAGCTACGCCAACAGACCCACCCCGGTTTTGGTCGGCGTCAATAAAAGCGAGGCCCCAACAGGCAGAAATCAGTTCGGGCTCCGGTTTCCCGAGTTGAGTTTCCGGAGTTCGGGCTCCAGCGGAGAGTTGAGTTTCCAGAGTTGAAGCCGCTTCGAGATAGCTGACCAAGATTCACGCAAAGTTAGGACTCCTTTTCAACCCAAAAACAATTATTTTGAAGAGCGACCTAGAACCAGACCACCGAAATAAGTCTTTTCGACTTTCGTCCAAAAACACACCGAAACACCAATTTCTTAGAGAGCAAACAACTTGAAGCGTTAAAACTTGCCTAGCGGAAACGACGTGTCACAATCCACAGAACGGGTCGGGAGATAGATGCAGTCCTATGTATCGAACAACTAGACATAAAGTTTGTTACCTTTTTCTCTGATACTTTGAACTTTTTGAGTTTTCATTTTATTTTCTTTTATGCATATTTATGTAGTATCACCCCCGTTGAACTCAGTTTGCATTACGGCCCCAACCACCGTTTGATCTCGTCTGCCTAAGATCAATTCACAACGTGGGTAGGCGGACTGGAGATCAATGCAGTTACCTTGGTAACCAGGCGTTGGAAGCGAGTTGGGAACGACGTGGCTGATATCAAATCTAACCAGATTCCCACCCGAATCACCAAAAGGTTAGAACGTCGCATTTGGGTGCCGCGACCGATACGAAGCCAGTTGGTCGTCACAGGACGAGACAACACGACTGACGCGACAGGCGGACGTCACGTTTGGAGCAGCGACACCCGGACGGAGCAGCGAGGAGCGAACAGCTGGCGCCGCGGCGAGGACGTCACAATTGGTGCTGTTTGTGGACGTCACAACTGGTGCCGTGGTAGATCAGGATAGAACGTCACAGTCGGCGCTGCGACCGGGGGACGACGTCACACACACACACACACACACACACACACATATATATATATATTGTTTAGGACACACACACACACACACTCAGTGATGCATTGTGGGTATTCTATTCAGATACACACTCTTAAGTAGGCGCCGGGGGGAGTCGTCAGTGATCTAAATTGACTTGGTTCATCCGGGAGTTTCGGGTTTTTCAGCATCATACACCCCATCACCAAGTCGACTCAATCAGGGGGGATCAATCCCTGATTTACCCTCGCAAACAAACGCTAGCAGATACTCTGGCCTTTTTCATGAATTAGACGAAAATAGACCACGTTTTTCGCACACCCTATTGGATGTTTGTAACAACCAATCCACTGCGCGAACTGTCTTTTAAATGATTAACGGTAGAAACTGGCTTCTTTTCTTTCTTTTCGATGGATAGCAGTTTCAATGGTTTATCGAAGAGGTAATTTAACGTTCTTAAATTTAACCCTTTTTTATTTCCAAAGTATCGTTTGATGTCTTACTTTAAATATTTACGGTTTTGTTTTTATTTGTATTCTATTATTCTAACCGTTATTTTGGTGGGCGATAACGGTTGTGTTTCGAATTACTCTACAGGATTTTGAGTGGCAATAAATGTTGATCTGAATGCAGTTTGTAACAGTAAGAGATAGATCAAGTATCGACCATCATAAAGACTGAAAAATAAAATTGTTTAAGGTTGACGGACACGCATGTTTTAATTATTTTTTTTTTTACGAATTGGTCAAACCCAAACTCAAACAAAAACATTGTTTTCAATCGTTATGAGTCTACCAATTGAATAGAATTTTATTATAAACAATTGTCTTGTAAATGGAATTTTTAAAGCATTCTTAATGTAAAAATAAAGAAAAAAGTGTGCAAGACAATAAGAAACACTGCCTGCCAAGAAAAAAAAACTAAAGTTTTGTTGAAATCGGTTGAAAAATTTAGGAAATCCGATCCCATATATAAACGAACACACACACACACACACACACACACACACACACGCACACACACAAACACAAACAACCTGGGTTTTATAATAAGTATAACTCGATATGAGTTGTCCCCCTTTCATTCTGGTGACAGCAATGCCTTTTAATCGTGTTTTCAAATTGATTTCGAGCAAAAACAATTGTGTTTTTCCAATTTTTTGCGCTGTCAGAACAACCACCGCAAGGTAATTTTACATAGTCCTGTGAAGTTTCGTTGAAATCGGTTGAAAAAGGTAGGAAATCCGATCCAATATATAAACGTACAGACAGACAGACAGACACACGCACAGAACCTGGGTTTTATAAGAAGTATGATTATTGATTATTTTATTGTTCGTTGTTATTACTACGTATTCTTTTGTTTATCTGTGCGCACGTGGTTTGTTAATTTGTTTATTATCTAGTTTGTATTTTTTATCAGTTTGGGGTTTTATTTATTTATTTATCTTTGTTTATTCTTGTTAGTTTACAATTTACGATTTTTATGTAACATAGTAAAAATTTCTTTTTCTGTCTGCATTTTGAGATGAAATATAATCATTTATTTAGTCGTTTTTTTTTTTTTTTTGCCTGGTAAAGTGATTGTAGCTTTTTTTCCCCTCCAAACAAAATTTACAATTTTTAATTTGGTTATTATAGCCTATGTTGTCTTTCTTATTTTCTATGATATTTTTGATGTGATTTGGCTTTTGTTTTTAAAAATTAAAGTTAAATTAATTTATATACAAGAACAAGGATGTCATTGTTTCTTCAAGGCTTTTAAATTTGAAAACGATCAGGTGAATGAAAGGTCAGTCAAAACATATGGAGGACACAAAGTGCCATAATTCAAAGTCTGAGAAGACAAAAGTAAGCGGGTAATATTCAAGAAATATATTTTTATATCTTTGTTTTTGCCTTGATAAAGTCACTCAGAGGACGAAAAGCGTTGGCAGCTAAGAATAGTTTTTCCTCTTGTCTTTTTATTCCTTTTGTCCCTTTACAGATATATATATCTACTACAAAAAATTTAAAACATCTAACCTAATCTTCAAAAAGAATAACACACCAGCAAAATCAAAATTACAACGAATGAACATCATCTATGAGTTCAAATGCCCCTTAAGTAAATGTGTTCCTGATCAAACCGAATTCATAAATAATTACATGGGTCACACAACTACATGCCTATCCAGACGGCTTACCTTACACCTCTCTGATCACAGATCTATTAGAACCCATTTAAACACACACACACACACACTTACCAGACTCCATCCGAAACATACTAGTAAAAATACAAACATAATAACATTATCCATCTGTTAAAAAACGATTAAAAGTAATTGAAGACCTCAGAATAAAAAAAGAAAAAGCCAACGCTTAACAATATTAACTGTGCTGTGTTCGGAAAATAAAACATCTCTATAACACTAAAAACATAATATAATACACTTAATTAAACGGAAAAAATAAAATCATCCTTGATAATGGCTAAAATTATAGCCGAAAGCGCTCAGAATTATAGAACATTTGGACAGTTTCTACAAACTCTATGTCCAAAAAGGAAAGCACTTGTTTGAACACAAGAAAATTTAAATAAAAAAGCTTAATCCTAGTACCTTGTCTATCGTTTTTTAATGAAACATGCGTAAATGAAGGATTGCTGCCTAAAGAAATAAATAATATATATATATATATATATATATATATATATATATATATATATATATGTATTTATATATACAATATATATATATATATATATATATATATATATATATATATATATATATATATATATATATATATATATATATAGATAATATTAGTGGAAAATATACCCATACATGTATATTTTCAGAAAAAAATTTTCAAGAGGAAGAATCCAGGTAGAACTCAATGTCTAGGACAGAGTAAGGATATAATAAAAAAGCTTAAACACTAATATTCCATATATTTTTTTTTTTTCTGTTTTCATTTTGAATTTGTAGGTCTGATGATTTGGATCGTATTTACGATTCCAATGGAATAAATTATGACCATGGAATATTAGTGTTTAAGCCTTTTATTATATATATATATATATATATATATATATATATATATATATATATATATATATATATATCAGATATATGCAATGACTGTAACAAGAATTTATTTATTTGGCCAATCCGTGTTACTTTTTCATTGCTCATATTTTAGCCCTTTTTTTGTAAAAGGTCTTCGAGGATTTGGAAGAAGATATTTCACGTTTCATGACTTTATTTAAGTCGTTAAAATTCGTGTAAATTCTTAATTTGCAATTTTCCTCACAACGGGTACCATAGGAGGACACCATTCAGTCAGTTTCGATATTTCTTTGATTCTTTGATTTCGTTGCATGCCATCCAAATCTGCTTTTACCATTTCTAGTCATTCTATCTGTATTCTCGGTGCTGTAGCAAAAGATTGCGTCGTTGCACGCTGCTTTTCAATTTTATTTTAACCAGTCCTTACCGGTTTCTAATTAAGTTCACTGGAAACCGCGGTTTCGATATTTTAGTCCCTTTACATTCTCTTCCTTAATCCGAGACCACAAACCGCGACATAATACGTTATCGGTATCCACATCTACATCAACTAGACGCAACGAAATAATTCCGTTAGCAGCATCGCAGACCGGCGTGGTAAATTGTCCAAGACATTTCATGATACCACCTAGTTATCTAACCATCGTCTTAGTCAGTCTCAGTGAAGGTTTTAAACTGACTTTGTGATATTTTTCCAACGACATTATTAATACGCCAACGCCAAAATCAATTTTAAATTAACGACCCTCCCCAGAAAGTTTAAGCTGTTCGTGCCATTGTCTTCCATTAGAACATGTTGCGCTGAGATATTAGGCAATGTTGTCATCTATATTTTTTATGGTGTCAACCCTTCGACTGCGACAAAATATACCAAAATGGTTATGCTTAACAGATTTAAGCTTTCCTTTAATTCGAAAGTTAATTTTCATAAGCCATTTTGAGCGCAATTCTTGCATCTTTTACCCTCTTCTTCCTTACCAATACCTACCGACGATAATGTGCATGTCCCTATTCACATTAATAAATGCAGTAGTAAACACTGTATGTTAGTCTGCAGTCGGAGATTCGTCTTCAGCTGTGCTAGTGAAATTCTCTGCCTCCGGGCAGAGAGGATCCCCAGACGAGGCTATGTCGAAAGGCAGAATCTCGTCCCGAGAAACAGCTACTCGACCACGTTTTATACGGATTCTACGAGGGATTTTTGGCCGAACCTACGGGTTCGGATACCCTACATTGAATTCGGCCTTGCGCCCCATCTGACCGCGTAGGACGGTTGGTAGATTTCTTGCAGTTGGAGATTCGTCTTCAGCTGTGCTGGTTAAATTCTCTGCCTCCGGGTAGATAAGATCCAAAGACGAGGCTATGTCGAAAGGCAGAATCTCGTCCCGGGAAACAATTACTCGACCATGGTTTATTCGGGGTGTACGGGGAATATTTGGCCGAGCCTACTCGCTTGGATACTCCACATTAAATTCGGCCTTGTGCCACATCTGACCGCGTAAAGCGGTTAGTAGATATCCTGAAGTTGGAGATTAATTGTGTAATTCACCTAACCCACTTCTAGCAGTTGACTTCTTTCATCTACGCGCCACTGGCGAATCTTATATGTGTTGTTCTTGTCCTAAGTATTATCGTTCATTACCAATCTTCGTGTGATTCAGTAACCTCCCCTAGGTTGCAACACCTTTCTCAAGAATACTTGCGCATGAGTGAATCTAACGATCCCAACCGGAATTGGAACTCAACTCACCAACGTTCACTTGATAGCCCTCATCCATTACAGGACTTCCACATGCAAACTTACATCACATGGTATTGCTAAGTGGTCACCCATCTAGGTACTGACCAAACTCGACGTTGCTTAACTTCGGCAATCGGACGAGAACCGGAGAGCTCAAAATAAAGAAAGAACTTAATTCAGCAATAAAGAAAGCCAACAAATTCAAAAGGAAATTTCAAAAAAGGATGAAGAAGAGAAATTAAATCGTAATGGACCTCGAAGAAGCTCATAAAAGAAAGCAACCGACCAAATATAGAAACGATGTCAAGCCTCTTTATGGCCGATACTCTACCCAGGACAAACAAGCTGATGTAAACTACTCGATGGGAGAACATATTTTAGTATCTTTTTTTTCTGTACTGTGTAACTTCAAAACGTGGGTGATCATAGCTCTCCACAGCTTCTTATCTTTTCGTGTTTTAAGTAACTTTTTAACTCTTTACCATCCTTCCTTGTACTTATTTTGCCACCTATATTGTACTTCTTTCTTTTCTACGCCATCTTTCTTCAATATGCGTGTTAACACAGCTCTTTGCATAACCTTTCGGTCTTTTATTTCTCTAAGTATTTTTGATACTTTAGCATCTCTCTTTGTTCCACACCTGACAGCCATTCACATTTTTTAAGCGTTTCACCCCAAGCAAGGTGAGAAGCCACTAAGACACAAGCGGTTACAGAAGATTTGGAGCAAGATCAGATAGGAGTGGTAGAGGAAATGATGAGGAGAAGGATAGTGGATAGATCAAGGCAACTGGAGATGTCGATTGACATTACATTTGAATAGTTGGAGATTATAGCTCTCAGGGAAACTGGAATAAGGAAGGGAGTTCCACAGGCAGGAGGTGCGAGACATGAAGCTATTGGAGTAGAATAGACGGCTACATTTAATAGTTTCGACAGTGAAAGGGTGAGAGCGGGATGCCAGCCCTGTAGGGCGCTTGAATTCATGAAGTCTGGAAACCAGCGAATGCAGCTCCTCGGAGCAATTACCATGAAAGTATTTGTAAAAAACTCAAAATGAAATTGTGTATTCACTTTTCCCGTTCAGTATATCTTGTGAGTGTTAGATTCTACAGGCCTACTTTCCTCTTTATATATCCTAAAAAATTCAACTCATTCGGATTGTAAGTATACTTTTCTTTTTAGCGATGTAGGAGATAATATCTTGCACTTATTCATTCTTGTGCTTGTTTCAAATTTGCATCTTATCCCAGAAGGTTTTTTGTTCCGGTTCCTTGTTTTTGCCACTCTGCTTAACCAACTGTGATTATATAAAAATTCGTGCGCTCTGAAAAGAGCGTTTTGAATTTAAATTAAAAAATAAAACATTAAAAAAAAAAACGGTGGAAAAATCAACCTTTCGTTTACAGAGCAACAGTTTCCCGCGCTGTTTTATGATTGGTTGATTCATTTGCTGATTTCGAAGTATTTCCACCTGTATAGACTGTTTACCCATTATTAATTGGTTTCGGAGAATTTAAACATTGAATGAGTAAATATTGACTTAGTTTGTATCAGGAGTTTTGAATGCATTTATACGAGGGTCAACTGAAAAGTTCATAAGCTGAGCGTGATATTGTAAGTAGACACTCAAGTTAGTAGACAAAAAACCATGCAGGTTTACGCAAATATAACAGATGGTCGGCCAACTGTTGTATTCCGGAACAGTTCCCTGGCAATATCAAATTATGCATGAACCCCCCCCCAAGCTTCTAAAGAACCTAGCGAGAGTATTGGGGTGATGGTCGGTTGTAGAGAGGTTTGTTTTGTAAGTTTGAAGTCTGAGGAAGCCAAGGCGATGTGAGAAAGGCGTCTTCGTACGAGGAAACACCTTCAATAGGAGACTGTCTCAACGGACTGGGTTACACAACTTGAAGGTTCTAATTGGACCATACCTAGAAGATCATGGGCTGCTTTTATCAAAAACTGTCAACATATCGCGCACATTTGGCTGTTATACATGAATCTGGTATACACATATCAGATTGGCTGTCATGACGGGTACATTGGGCTTCGTATTGTTGTACACCAGCGTCACTTTCTTGTAACGCGTTTCGCTCTCCACAACGACAATAATAATAAGAAGAATGAAAAGAAGAAGAAGAAAAAGGAGGAGTAGGAGGAGGAGGAAGGGGGAGGAGGAATGCTTTTAGAAGAATCAGAAATGAGTGTGATGCGAGGAAACGGCTTTTAACGCAGGAATGAAGACTTGGAGTTCGAGTATATATCACGTTTCCACTGACAAACATTCGAAATAAAGAGCTAAATTTGAAAGCTGTATATTTTGACTAAGGACTTGTTACTGGCAAATAAATGGGCAATATATAAGTTTCCTGTTCAAGCTACAGAAAATGGTTGCTACATCCATTTTCATCTTTGTAACATAGAGACCTACGAATAGAAACAAAAATGGAATAATAATGCAACTAATAATAATATCAATAATAAATTGTTTTTATTTCCTTAGTCTCTCTATCGGCTTTTCTTTCATCTTCTTCTTCTTCTATTCTCCTTTCTTTATCATCGTCTTTTTTTTTTCGCAGTTCTTGTCCACCTCAGTCAATATCTGGCCGTTTTTACGACTCCCGTTCCGCAGATAAAAAGACCACCATCTTTAAATATGGCTAACACGTGAATTCCCTTGGCGTCATACACTATGGTGAAGTTGGTGGTTTTGAAGGCAAATACTGGAAGCTGTTTGCGGGGGTGTGGGGGTGTAGCGGAAATTCGCCAGGGTTTGTATGAATGAAGCAACCGAAATTGTTTCCTTGCGATATTCAACAACAACCAGTTGCATTGATTTAAAATAAAAGGAAATATCATTTGAATCTTTTCTAAGCCGCAGATCCGAAGTGAAAAGTCGCAAAACGAAAAGATGTTTTTTTTTTGTTTCAATAGCTCAAAGGCTGGTTAAGCCATGTCTCTTAAAAACAGCTTCTCTGATATATATTTTATCCATTTTTGCAATCAAAATGAAAATGTTCATTATTTATCTGCAGTAATTACAGGACTTAACACACATGCTAAATAATGTAGTAACTAACAAAGGAATAATAATTATATTATTATTCAGACTAAATTATAAACTTTAACAATTTTATAACAATACTAACAGTATGGCCCGGCGTTGCCCATGCTTGATTCAAAAATCGTACGACTCATACAGCAATCGCTATCACTTGACTTAAAATATTTTTGTCCCTCCTTGCCTTTAAAAGAATGCCTTTTGCCGTGCTGATGTTGCTGCATGCCTTACTTCTTGCCTATCTCACACTGCCAAATTTTTCTAAGCTCTATACTAAACATTAAATCTGTTACGAAAAAATAACTAAACAAAATGAACACAAAATGATCAGCTTTAAAAAAGGACTCGTAACTGGAAAAACCGAATGAAAAAAGAATATTAACAACAAATACTTTTTCACATCCAACCCAGTTCTGCGGAATCATAATCAACGTTGAGTTTAAGCAAGCGAATGAGCCAATTGGAGTAAAGTGCCATGCAGATTTAAATTTTTCCCACTCGTGACGAATGCAGCTATCGATTTTTTTGCATGCTAGCATGCTAGTTAACATTCGTGTCAGTCAGCAGTTGGCTCTCACGCTGGCCAATAGAATCTTCCTGCCTATTCGTGGCAGCCAGCTATAAACTCTCTCTCTGGCCAGTACAAAATGGCCGCAAACTACATGAAAACTGCCGTAGAAGCATGACAAAATTGATTATTTCCACTAACGATGGGAGTTGGGAAATGCAACGTTGATCTTGGCCTTCCCGCTAACTTGAAGCATGTGCATGTAAATTTTGGTGCAAATCCATCGAAAATTGCGGCCGTGCATTCGTTACACACATTCACACACACACACACACACACACACACACACACACACACACACACACACACACACACACTGCCTTTTATAGAAAGAGATGACAAAACGCGTCACAAAACGCGCCAACATTCAAAAACTATATATGATATTTTCTTTTGGACGAAACGTATACTAAAGAATGTCGGCGGTCATGGCTCTTCACAGGTTCCTTTTTCTTTATTGTCTGTGTAATTGTCGTTACATCTTTGGAAAGATAATGGAATGGCTTCGTATTTTGCTTCTACACAGTTTAAATTCAGAGTATTCCTTATTGACAGAGTGACGTGCGGATGGTGTAATGGAGAGAACGGTTCGGAAATTGGAGAGCTGAGTTCTAATTCCATGTCGAGATCATTACATTCAGTTAAGCGCAAATACCTTTGGGAAAGCTATGATGTCATTTCCTTCACGACATATATGGCTTAAATAGTAGTCGATGCATCTGAAAATACCATTGTTATTCCAAAGAAATTGTTAATGTAAAAAAGTATTATTCTTAGAAAGCAAAATGTATTTCGATTGGGTTGGTAAGCCGCAAAAATATAAAAAAAAAATGTCTTAGACTGCACGTCAAGCAAGACTAGAAAGTTATTTTATTTAACCCATCTATTCCAGTTGAATCAATTACATTCAAATAGCAGGACAGACTGGGTTCTACAGAATGAATCAGGGCCGTTTTTAAGAGGCTTAAGACTGAGTTATTGAAATGTTTCCTTTTATTTTATCTCTGATTCATTCAAAACCAGCGGAGGGTCGTTTGTGGACCTTGTGGCACGTAGTGCACCAGGTCACTGTCTTCAAAAAGTGTAGTTAGTTCAGCCTTCACCACTATAATCAAATTATATGTGCCTCATATGTTGAATACGACGGGAGAGTTCACAACGTGTGTGTGTGTGTGTATATATATATATATATATATATATATGTTGTGGTAGGATCCACCTAATTTGCATAGTGGAGTACCGACCATACAAATATGGTTGGTACCGGGAAGAGAGTGGAGGAATCAAGAGATTCAACCAGAGACTCTGCCCGACTGCGACTCAGTCAACACATTCTCCAGGAACGGTCTTCCCAGAAATATACAAAAGACTATATGTAAATATTGTATACACTTTCTTGTTTCAATACATTTTGTTCTAAGTACACTTTGTGTTGCATTATTATTCCATGCATTAGTCAAGTTTCAACAATATATATATCATATAGTAATTCGTCGAGCCTAGAATAATCCTCAACTATC